TGAGCTTAGGTGCAGGAGAAATACCTATTTAGATGTCCACTTAGTAGATATGAAGCAGAAGATTTTCATTTCTCTCCATCCCTACTGCCAAGACGTTAGTCCGTGTGCTGGTAATTTCCCATCTTGACTACTGTAACCTCTCCCTCTTCATTCCCTCTACCCTTGTTGCCATTCCAGTCTGTCTAGAGGTCAGCCTCCAAGATTAATCTTCTTACCTTGCTTCCTTGATTCCAGTCTTTTTCTTTTTTTCATGTATTTCCATCTGTTTTCTGACTTCCAGAATTCTCTAACTGCCTTTCCCCAGCCCTTTACAACCTGACCTAAGCTTGCTCCTGACTTCATCTAACTTTTCTACCATCAACGCCCAAGAATATTCCTTTAAATATTTACCAACTGCCTTTACAGCTCCTTTTTTTTTTAAATACACCTATTCTGTGAAGCAGGTGTTAGCCTGTATCACCCCTATGTTTGCTGTTATGTTGCTGTTACGTAATTTAGATTATAACCCCTTCAGAATAGTTCTGTACTTTCTCAGTATAGTTTACCCCTCATACAGCATCCTGTATAATTTTAGCACTGTAAAACAATTGAGATACCTGTGCATTTCCAGTAAAAAAGTCAATGATAAAGCCAGCTGAATATTCCCTCTTCCCTTCCCTTCCTGTAAATGTGGGCTCATTTGTGGGTTGTTTTTTGGGGTTATATCTTAGCCAGTTCCGTTGTTTCAGTTCTTCCGTGCCGTGATGTGGAGGCTTGGGCTGCTGCACGCCCTTTGCTTCTCCTAAGAACTGTGCTTCCCTTCCCCTACCTGTTCCACCACACTAGGTACCTGAACCACCTGGACAACGATGAATTCCAGAAAGCCATCCACGAACTCCGGTTAACAAAGAGCATCTGGACCATCGACCTGGCCTACCTGATGCGGCACTTTGGTGTTAAGCATAAATTCTGCACCCAGACGCTTGGAGTGGACAAGGGCTACAAAAACCAGGTTAGCATCATTATTCATTGGGAAACAGCAAGACGTTTCAAAAGTGAGCCCTGTGTGCCACGCTATAAAAGTTTTGCTGTGTTACTGACAGTTGACCACAGTTGCTATAAACAAGATTTGAATCAGTTCTCAAGGCGAGGCTAGATATGATGCCAGATATTTTCCATCTTTGATTCCATAATGTGAATTTTTCAAGTTTTCGTTTAGTGTTCAAGAAAGATTCTGGCCTATTTGACAGCCTGAGAGACTGAAGCCCTCTATTTCTCTAGAGGGCAGGTACAGCAGCCTGGGCAGCAGCAGTGCTAGCTCCAGTCTTGCCTCAGCCTTAACCTGCAGGAACCACCTTCAGAGGTGAGAGAGGAGCTCAGGCTTCATCTGCTCAGATTGGCCTCTTCAGCATCACCCAGACAGGCAGGGAGCACCTATTCTGACAACAGTTTTTCTGATGCAGGTTCCTGCCCAGAACCAACCAAGCGACTTCCTTCATGTAGGCAGCTGAATAGCCCCTAGAGATTATAACAGGAGTGTATTTGAGCTGATCATTTAGAGCAGGAAATCTTAGCCTATTATGAGAGAACTAAAGGAGAGACCTCTTATCACATAACCAGATTTTTAATTTATGCAGGCCCTTGCTAGCAGGGATTAACTAGGGTAAACTTCATCCTAGTTTGGACTTCTCTCCACAGTCATTCTACAGGAAGCACTTTGACACAGAAGAGAATCGAGTGAATCAGCTCTTTGCACAAGCCAAAGCCTGCAAGGTGCTGGTGGAGAAGTGGTAAGCTTACCGTTTTCTTTCTTTTTGGAGAGGGTAGGAGGAGAGGCCCAATGCTTTCCTTCGAATCATCAAGTTAAACTGGTGTTAAGAGCCTCCTGTTAATTGGAATATTTTTACTGTGTCCGTCTCAAGAGTGGACATCTAGGTAAAATCATGATGTTTGAAGAAAAAGATAGTCATGATACCAAATGGTGATTTGAATTTGCTGACAAGACATGACTATTATTTAAATTTTGAATTTGATTTTCCATTAAGATAACTCAGTAGGGAGTGCCCAGTGCTCTAACAGGTCACTGATAAGGACTGCTGTCCTTGGAAGGCTGGCAAATGCTCTGTGGATATAAACCCCATTGCTCCCAGCTGCTCTGCAAACATTGCAGATCTCTGGCCCGAGACAGAGAGGCAAGGGAAAAGCAGACAGGTGAGCTTTTGCCAAGATAAGTGGAAAATAAAAGAACTGCAAACCTAGGAGAAGGGGAAAAATTGCAAAATTGTTTCACCACTTGTGAATAGGGGATAGTGATAGGGAATAACTGCCCAATCCACATGTTTTTAAAGTTTGAATTTAGTTTACATTTTTGTTTTCAAAGTGGGAGAGTGATAAGGAGTAAGAAGAGAGCGGCACAGAGCAGCCACAGTATTACCCGAATACTGCAATGCACCTCACATTTACAGAATCATTAGTGTCTTTTAACTTAGCCTGTACAGCCCCCTCCTATTACCTAGACTGTGACCAGGGAGAAGGCACAGGCAGGTCCTTTGTTTAGAAATCTTAACATGGTGACCTTGATCTAGGCAGGGACAGAATTCATACTTACTGCTCAAGCTGGGGCATCACAGAAGAGAAGCACTGGAAAAGATGAAACAGCACATCAATCAGGATCAACATCTGGAACCTACCCAAGTGAGGAGTTCCAATGCATATGGAATATACCATCTGCCTCAATGAAGGACAGCTCTAACAGATGAAATTATAGATTATATTTGGTTAATATTTATTTTCTGCAGAAGGTATTGTAGAAATATATACTTAAAAGAATGGAGAATCAGGTAGCTCTAACTTAAAACTGGGAGAGAGACAATCTTGTGTGACAGAAGCAAATTTGGGTACGTACTAAAGTTGATTAGTATAAGATCTTTATAAATAAAAGATCTTTAACTACTCAGCCAATAAAAAATTTATGCTTTAGATACAGAGTTTTATTTTTTTAGGAGCATGAGAAGACTTACTTTTGATTTTCCCACAATTTTCGTTACTGAATGAGTTGCCAGCTCCTTTAATACTCTTCTCCAGGGCATCTAATACATTCTGAGATTACATTTATATTAGTGAAGAACCAAGAGTTGTTGCTCTACACTTCAGTGGCAGCAGTGGGATTAAAAGGCCTTAAAGGACATAGGTTTTGTCTCCTAAAAAGCCTTCAGAATTTAACTGCAAAGAGCTGTACCTGTCACATGTAAAAATCATACCAGCTGCATGTCATAAATACTTTCCATCACCACACACATTACTAATACTTGCCTCTTTCCTAAGCTGTTCAGAAATGTGTAATTTTTTTTTCCTGCAGCACAGTAACCATTCAAGACATCCAAAAGCATCTGTCCCAAGGTCACGTAGCCATCGTCCTGGTGAATGCAGTTCTGTTACTGTGTGATCTTTGCTCAAGCCCTGTCAAATACTGCTGCTTCCTCCCCATTGGGCAGAAATGCTTCTGCAGGAATCCTGACTACCAGGGCCATTTCATCGTGTTGTGTGGCTACAACAAAGCCTCAGGGAGTATTTACTACAACAACCCAGCCTATGCTGACCGTGAGTACCTCAGTCCTGCTTCCTTCTGATGTCTCCTTTAGTAACCTTGTTACTGAAAGTCAGTAATGAGAGGCAGCTGGACCTTCTGCAGCAGCATACATGCATTTTGAGCATCACTAACCAGTTAGTTATAAGCTGTTTTGCCACATTCATTGATCCTGTGCTGAGCACTGCCTTTGAGAGGAGAAGAACTAATTAGTTCTTCAGATGAGTAAAGCTGATAGGTGAAGTCCATGCGAGTTGTTACTTTTCTCTGTAGAAGCTGCTAGAGCCAGCATTAAGAGCCTTTCCATTGGCAACTGACTTTGTACTAATACTTTGTTCCTCCTCAACAGGAACATGCAGCACCAGCATCAGTAACTTTGAGGAAGCCAGGACAAGTTACGGCACAGATGAGGATATTCTCTTTATCTACACAGACAGCTGACACCCACAGCTGGTGCTTCCAGTCGTTTCTGGTGCAGCCTGCCTGGCAGCTGGCTGCTCTTCTCAGGACTCCCCCTGCACAGACCTTGCTTCTGAACTGCAGTGGGATCACACGCAAGGGAGGCTTTATAGGCATTGCTAGGACTATACTGCAGTGCTGTCTTCACCTTTTTATTCCTGATGAAATACCCGATTTTGCAATGTGCATTTTTCCCCATTTTTAATATTGCATATTTGACAGCACTTTTAAAATTCAGGCCCAGAATCTTGTTGGCTATAGGATTATTTTCAAACTAAACACATGGAAAAAAAGCAACCAGTTTATGAACTTACACACTTAGGCATACATGCACAGGTTTAGGTAAACAAAACCAGAGAAAATAGTAAATACCCATTTTTCTCTTTCCTTCAAAGCATAAGGGCTGATCTTCA